TTCATTGATCAGTGCCAGGACTGGAAGGACACAACCAATATCCGTCAGCTGAATCAGCTGTCAGTTTTTTTTCAGAAGAAATATGACTTCAAGTTAAGCAGGAAAACATATTCTTTTCAGAATCACTCTGTCACTGCTATTGAGAGACGCCAATGAGGTTAGAAACGACAATTTTGTAATTCGTGGAAATCGTTGCGTTACAATATGAGACTAAAACTACTAACCAACATAAAGAGAACAGACGATGATCTTAAATGAGGATCAAATGCATTTCGTTCTGACAAATACGTAATAAAAAAAGTTTAAAGACATATGATCAATTTCAAACAAACCTTTTATTAACGTTACAGCTATCCCATGAGAATAGAGTTATTTCACAAATGCTCTGACGTCTGGTTTTTAACCATTACTGCTAACGTCTTAGAGCTTCGGTCACTTTTCCCTTAATTTGCGGTTACCTGTAACAAGGCATTCATGACTATGCCATCAACAAATTACTTAACTACTTGTCCGTGTACATAACCCTGTGAAGCCTTTTCAAAGGCAGACAATTTGTATATGCCAAAAATAAGAATGCTATTATATAATCATGTATATGTATATGAAAGATTGGTTGATATATTGCATCGCATTGAAGTTACGTGGAATAAATGAACCGGGTCATAGTTGCCATATTTACAAAAACAATGCACAAGGTCTCTGTGTTTATTGAATGTCAGATCATAAGTTGGAAATAATCCTTTTAATTAATTCCAGTCTTCATTATGTAGATGTAAGCGATTTATCTCCATCTGTGTTTTTGAGGGATCGACATATATGAACACGATATTTCTGAATGGAATGTACAGTACTTCTTTCCTATTTCAGTATATTCACCTAAATTTTCTTTCTAAAGTGTACATTGAGATATATTCCGCTAGGCTATGAGTTGGAAGGATAACGGAGCTTACAGATTCTATCATAGAGAGCCAATATACAGCATTTGCCTATATAACACCCAACACACACACACAGCTTGCTCACGTTGCATTCCTAGTGTAGCAACATATTACATGCTACAGAATCCTCGTGCTGGATTTTGATCTGTCTGATAAAGGACTCGAGAAATTTCAGTTAGCATTAATCTCCGTTAAGCTAACCATTGTCATCTTCCTTTATCTAATTCTGTAAGTCAAACTATATCACCATCGAATACAAGTTACTATTGCTAGGAAAGTTTGTTTTGAAATTACGGTAAGTCAAAAGATACCAAAGAAAATACCAATAGAAACTTAATTGAAACTAAAGTTCGAATGAATTTGGACAAAATATGACCAAAATAAAGATTTACTTGGATACACCTGAAAAAGTACGTGGAAAAGGTAACCAGATGTTCCGGAAGGGTATGCGTCCTTTGCTTCATCGTCGACACCTAGCAAATACATTAAGAAATCCTTCAAAGTTATGTAACATAGATAAGAGCATGGTAAATAGACTTTTGTTGATATACTTGTAAGTTATCCAATTGTTGAACCTGTTCCAAACGTAGCCATAATCTAACATCAGAAAAAAAAAGTTTTCTCTACGATAATGGTTAACAACAATACCGAGATGACCTCAACTGATTGCAGTTTTACGTCATACGTCATATCATTTACGTTACTAATTATGACAAATGATGAACGAAATTACGATAAAATGCTTTAAAAGTACAAATATTGAAATGGAATACTTCAAAGTGCAAAACGTGCACTCCCTATTGTGTAATAAATGCGTTACGGCGAGCTTTTAACTTTTGTAAATCAATACTCCAATGACTTTTCACCGTTCGCAATGGTCATAACATACACCTCCATTGTATTACTGGGAAATCCTAGAAGGACGATTCAGCCTCACTGACGTTTGATTATTTTGATCCAATAAATGCAGTATTAGATTTGTTTCTGTTGTTCACTCTTGATGTGTTGTTAATTCTACAAGAAAATCCCAGCCATGGTAACACGGTCATTTAACATACTGAGATCAGATTTTCACATGCTACATCTTCCAATGTCCCTCCCAACAAGGTAATCTGGGTTGCAGGTCCGAATATCACAATAACGACCAAAGTGATCATTGCCAACAACTCGTCTAATGTAATTACCAATAATGTTTTCACCTCCCTGTATTATTTAAGGCTAATTCTGCCTTGACCTTCATTAATTCATGCTCTAATAAAATAATTTGTTTGGATTACGTCATCAATCCTACAAACAAATCACATAAGCGGTATGTATATGTTCGTATTTATTTAACGTATGCTACGTAGAAATCAATGGTTAGAAATCTATCAACATACACCAAGCAAACCCCTCTGAAATTAATCGACCATTCGGTGAATAGTGAAGCAATCAGTCAGTTATCCATTATACGCCATACTAAATGTTTTGTATTGGTCGTATATCACAACATGTTTTTTTATTATTTCCTAATCCTGTCTTGTTTTGTCTGTTTGCTGGGTCAATCGTTTCCTTCTCGTTTTCCTTGTTGTTTCAGCGTTCTTCAAGGAAAAGTAATACACGTTACAGCTAATTGCTCTTTATTTGTGTAGTAATGTGCTCTCTGGTGCCAGTTTGTTATTGACAGGCGCTGGTCTCGTTCTGGATTTTTTTTATTGTATGTATTATTTACTTTGTAATTTGCCCTTTGTGAACGATGTGATGTTGATAACAGGCAATTAGCAAGTGTACACAACTGATGTTAATGTTGAAAGGAAGAGTAAAATTGAATGTATTGGAATCCTTTCTAGGATACGTTACACACAATCCTTAAATAATTCACACTGGAGTAGTTGGAATAAAATGATCTCTTGACTGATTTCACAAACACCTTACGTGTTTAGCAAATATTTAACAGAACAATCATACGTTGAAATCCACTTATCAGAAAACTTAATGGTTCGAACTCCTCTCAGAAATGCAGAGGTGGAAAAAAATTAACATAAACATATGTATTCCATAAAAATGTAATAATATTTTAGAATAAAAGGTAATTTTGCTTCATCATTATTACTAGTATAATATCGCCTTTCGCTGTATCACGTTACACTACCATCACGATATTTACTATGATCGACAGGCAATTCCTTCCTTACGCATTTTAGATTGACGTAATATCATAATAAATAACTAGTCAGCTGATTAAAAACCATAAAACATTTTGTTCTGCAAAAAAACATGTCAGTCGGACCATATCCAACTTTTCTTGGCAACTATTGTTCCGTGTATATAGGTCGAGTACAAAAGAATGTGATGATGTTTTTCTTTATCCACTTTATTCGTTTGATGTTATTCCTTCCTTTTCACATTTAAGTGACCTTAATGACCTTTACCTGCCTTGACGGGCTGTAAGATTATTACAACGATAGAAATAGTAACCTCGTCATATTTTCCAAAGTGCAAACGTACTCCGTGGAGGAATTTGATGATAAGATAGCATGTATTACCCATGTGCAACAAGTTAACATATTGGTTTAAGTGTTAACTCCAGCAGTGGAGTTCTTGACTGCAGCGTACAGCTACACAGCAATGCCATTTGTATCAAAATAATGTTACTCTCTACGGCTGCGTACGCTACAGTATTACAAGGTTCAGCTCTCTGACAGCGTAGTAGTACTGGCATCATAAATCAAAAAAGGGAAAAGCCATTTGTGTTCCGGAATGAAACAAAATCGATTTGAATATGTATTTTACAGGGTGTAATCCGCGACAAGCATTGATATCTTATTAAATGTAGAGTAAAGGTATCTGTATGTTCGTGTCCACACCTTTAACGTTTCTTAACACTATTACAGACTCACCATTAATTTTTGCTATCAGTATCTTTGTGATATACAAACAATAATACATTTTGTTGACTTTCAAAATACTACCCAATCAAGTTACTTGATTTGAATTACTTAGTCATATGGTGTCTTTACCTTACATATACATTTAGATAAGACGACAGGACGTTAATCATAGATATTTTTCATAACGAAACATTTTGCGATTCTTATGCAAATTGGATTAATCTAGACAAATCTTGGATCGCATCAACGTGTATATCAACTGAAAATGTGAAACTGGTGGTTAAAATCAAGTTTAAATGATTTGTTTACCGACATCAAGCCGAATGTGCTTCAGTAACAGTCAGTTTTAAATCCAAAAGGCATCTAGTACTAAAGTTTTACTGATAGTTTAGTTTATGTATTTATGTTTTATCAAGTCATGTTTCGAACATCACAAAACTAATGATCATGAGGCATTAAACTTATTTTATGTTAAACCTACGTTATCTCGAATTACGCCAAAATTCATTGAATTGACAGTCGAACTTCATTATCTCGATGTCGACGGGACCGTGGGAAAAATACGAGTTATCAGAATATTCGATTTATGTAAGCTCAAATACTTAATGCAAAAAATTTGCCGGGATCGATGAAATGCTTCGAATTAACCGGGGTCTTCGAGATACATGAGATCAAGATAACATGGTTCGGCAGTATCTAATAGCTGTATGACTGTAGAAACTCGTTTAAACGATGCATATTGACAGATATCCAATTATTTTCACTATTTAATTTGTAGATTGACACAAAAACTTCTACTTCATGACAATAGCTACTTTATGGAAAGTTTTATCTCATCATCTTCGCACGCCGGTAGAGGTAGCATAATGGATTATATCTAAAATGTTCACAATGATACGCACGTATCGCTTATGGTATTATTTTCAATTGACTATTCAACGTTGCACTCTTGACAAGAGAGAGAGAGAGAGAGAAATATATAACACCATCCAGACCATATCATACACCAACAGGCAGCTGATTTTGAATAACCATTACCATCACCGTAAGATGTAGCGAGATTAGTTTCCAATCGATCAATGGAACTTTGCGGCAGGTGTGTTGATATTAATGCAAGCGAACGTAGAAATTAGATGGCAAAATAAATGTCAAAGAGCTAAAAGAGAAGAGTAGAGAATATGTATGTACTTACCAGGACCAGAATACTGATGTAGACATAGGACATCACTGCTAGTGGAAACCCCAGACCCAATATTAAAAGGCACACACTATATGATAAGTCGACTGGACTTCGAGCGGTCCAGTCTATTGAGCACGATATATTTGCTCCTTCAATGGTATATCTGTTCCATCCCAACAAGGGATATGCTGCTAGAAGAAATCCGTACATAAAACATCCAAACAGAAGAAGAAGAGTTGCTGACTGTGTGACAAGGTGTGACCAGTGACATTTTACAATCACTATGTACTTTTCAAACGAGAGTACAGTCAAAATCGCGATTTGGGTCAACCCGAGTGCGGTAACTATGAACCCGTGGAATACACATCCAAAATGCCCAAACAGCCATTTTCCTGAAATCGCTGATGCCCCAACAAAAGGAATAGCCAACGATGCAATGAGAAAACTTGAAATACACAGTGCTATCAGTAGTATGTTTGGTCTTGTTTTCAACTTGCTGTGGACTAAAAACACGTATACAAATACTCCGTTGAAAAGAACTCCAGCCAGAAAAATGGAGAACATGAAAATAGCCAGTACAGCATATTCTGCTTTGCTTATGGAAGTCGATGATGCATTTAGAAATTCCATTTCCATACTCGTCACATTTGTAAATAAAACTAAATCTGTACTGTTTGCACCAGGTGATTGGGCATTCATGTTTTGAAAACTATCTCCCAGCTACTACATGGGTATTTCTAGTCTCGTTTCAGTCTACATTCCCGCTGCCAAAACTCGAACGTTAATTTCCAGTTGAAATGTTAAAGCTGTGAGAGAGATACGTATGATTAGGGATATTAATGCATAGAATCATATTCTGATAGTGAGTTGTAAATTATTCCAGTTTTTATGATGTTATCAAATCATCTAACCATCTGTTACAATCGTAAAAAACTTTCTAGGAGAAGTCATTGTTCTGAATAGTTAATCTTATGCCAAAGCTACATTTCCTACATCACTTTATTTCTCGATATCCTACTCGATATCAGGAATCTAATGCATGTTCTAATCAGGTGCTTGATTCAATTATATGGTCAGTTATTTCCCACTGATGAACAGCAAAGCTATTGCCGTGATGTGAAACTGTCACGGGCGTTATCAATAACTTGAAACATGCTGTTCACAGTCTAGCAAATATAATTTTTGAGTTCCTTTAACATTTGATCGCCTTGAACAAAATTATTTATAACTAAATGTTCAGGCAAATACCATATCTCTTATTATTTTTAACCAATTCAATGCAAGAAATCCGGCTAACTATAACACTATTTTTTTATGAAATTATGCGAAAAACATTTTTTTTTATACTCGCGTACGGCTCCTGTGGTAGAAAGGTTGATATGATTATTTTCTTAACAATATTGTATTGTCAATGGCAAAATAAAATCAGACTGTGAGAGCAGCTGATAGCAACGTTACTAATCGAAGAGTCACATCCCCCTAAGCCTACTCTACCTGTTGCGGTATGTAGACGCAGATGCTGTATCCAGAACAACAATACTATGCTACACACAGCCAGAACTATCTCTGGCAAGACAGCCACAGCCAGGGCTCTGCGAACGTATTTATACTTAAAGTTGAACTGAATCAATAATGTTGGGGCGGAGTAATACTTAATGACCCGCCAACCAAATAAATAAAGAATTTTCTGGTCGTTACATTCCGCCACGCAAAGGCTTACTAATTTACTAAATAAGTTAAAATTATGTTATGTTTATGTTATTTGATCTAGTGTTCATGTCGAACCGTACTATCAAAATAATATATATGAAACCAATAAATAGGCGTGATTTTGTGTTAAAGATATACCTACAGATATTATCAATAATGAAATGAAATCTTGATAAAATGATTGACGGAGTGAGCAAAGTAAATAATTTATCTAATACACTATATGTATGTGAATCTTAACTCAAATTTTGAGATTGGCTTTGCTGCTGTAAGCTTACGGACCTCCAAAATGAACAAAAGATCTATGTACACGAAACCAGTACATTACTTTCTTATTTAGATAAACCTTTCCCAACGTCTTTTTGACAACATTTTTATATCAGTTTATCTCGAATTATTGAAGTTTTATGTGTACTTTAAGACAGATGGGCATTTACATTGCGTGGAAAACAATTTTTCCCAGGTTAGTCTGTTGCCAATTTCATGTGATCGGAATAGCTGCAATCTTATCTTGTCTAGGTTACATTTCACTATGATATCAATATAGAAGATTCTGTATAATTTTTTTGTATTTACACTTTCGAATATGAGAACATGTGTATCATGCGGGTACCTTAAATGACTAATAAAACCGCGGGAGATATATTTTGATAGATTTTATGCAAAATGTTTGTTGGCAAAGGTCTTAATTTTCAACTAAATTTTGCTTTTACATCCCATTACCACTATTTGGACGAAGGGACGGTATAGTACAGTTTTCTCATCCGTCCGGTATGCATATAAGACTGATCTAGTTTGGGCATACGTCAGTTACGAAATGTAGGACAATGCTTCGGCGATATTCGCATGAACAGCATTAGTAGAAAACATATTGTTAATTGCAAGTGAAACTGACATCGCATACTTTTTGTTCTATTTACACAAAACATAATGATCAGATGGGCACTCTTGAGAAGGTTGAAGATCGCACAACGTATAGGACATATTAAGCTGATAGCTCTCCATATGTCATTCCGGTAGAAATTATCAAAACCGTTTCAAATATTCTATTTGAGTCGTATATGGAGTTAAGTGTGCTGGACGTTCGTTAGTATTACCATGGTGTCGTTGTAATCAAACTGGTTCTCACTTTGGGAACATGTCATTAAAATCTATAAATATTTACAAGATGATCCTAGTCGATCAGGTAAATGTTTGCTTTGTTTCTAATTATCTTTCGTTGATTCGATTTTGTTTAAATGCTGATAACCACTCTTTGTGTTTGCATAATTTGGTTTCATATTCTATTGATACTATCTCTATTCTATTTCTGTATCAAGCCATCTCTTAATGCCAACTGTGCCACTTAAAATACGCACGTATCCAATATAACTGAGAGCTAATGAACAACTTTGCACATTCATTCATCTAAAAGTTAATCCGAAGCAAATATGTGTTCATAGCCAACCTCTTTATTATAACTGAAGGGAATTCAATTACATGCCCTTGATTTCCATACCTATAAGTATCAGGAGTTAACATGTTTCAGCACTCGGCAGATATTGTATTTCAATATGCAATTAATATTAAAGGTGTTACTTATTTGAGTGCATTATTTGCTCTAATGGTATACTAATATCAGTTTTCATTTTCTCTCTAAAAATATACCGGAAACAGCGGATCATACTGCCTATATATTACTGCCGTAATTACAGAAAGAGAGAAACACTCATAGAAAACATGAAACATTAGTGTGTCTCAGTTCTCATACACAGATATTAACAAGGCCAATATTAGTTCTCTTTTCATCTAACATGCTACTCCGTGTTTTGTTTAGTACGACCTACCTACAGCATGGATTGAAGAGCGTGTCAGTTAAGAGTAGGAAACAACTGCATCAAATAGTTTAACAGACATAATGAGCTTTTTGTAAAATTTTCCGTCCTTTTTCAAATCATCGAAAATACAGCGACTCACTATGTAATGTAAAAAAAAAAAAATATTTCCCTGGAGTGCAAACCTTTTTACTTTCTCACATTACAGTAATAAAAGTCAGTTCGTAAGCATGCCAGAGGAAGGTAGCTCAGGATGAAACCGATTGATCAAGAATATAGAAATGTATAAGAGCAGATCTGACAATAAACATCCTAAGGCCAATCCTTACTACTTACATAAAACATGATATCCAGGATCACGGTATTTATTCTATACACGAATCAGAGTCAGGGAAGACTGTAACCCTAATCAAAATGTTTTGATGTTAAATGTATCAAATTACTGGAAAAACGGGTTGTTATTGTACTGATTGTTCCTGTGTATAAATCGTCAGAACCGCCAATTTGAAATGTTACTAGTTTTATCACAACATTGCATTTTATTGTGTGTTTTTTTTTCATTTCTTGAGCGTCTCTCTATGCAATTAACCGTATCTGCTCTAGTCTCGCATTGAGATGAAAAAAAAAAAAAAAAAAAAACGGAAAAGTGACACTTATTTTTATTTTCACGTAATATCTTCGTGGCATCCAGCTTAACCAAGTACATGTAGGCGGTGATGGCATGTACTGGCGAGCTGATGAGTATGAAACTCCTACTTAACGAGCCTGTTTTGTCAGTCAACCTTTTAGAAGTGAGTGAAATATCGTAGAAAACAGCTTAATTACAAAACGTTTAATGTTTGCGTGTGACCACCGAGGGAAGGCTTAAGTTTAGACATAGACACATTTTAATTAAAACAAGTATTAATGTGCTGTTTGGTACAATAATACAACGGTAACAAAATAGATTTCCCAGAGAGGCGACTAATGTGGGAAAATTAAATATCCTTGAATTTAGATCAAATTGAGTGTATATATTTATTATAATTATTATAACACTTCGAACACCGAGGTTACGTGATTGGACAAAATGGCCAACCTAGTGAGGTTTTAGATAATGTTTTTCTTTTGACATGTGTCGTTGGGGGTACTTGTTTAATTACAACATGCAATTATTATTATTATTTCTTATTTTCCTTTAACTTTTGGACACTTTCCTCCAAAACGTTAAGTTGGACCTTTACCAATCGTATAGTGATTAACTCTAATGACCTCTACATGTGTAAAGAAATTCTGTTTTCTGATTTGATAAGATGGCCGCCACCCTCTGGTTCCGTATTGACCAAGACATCTCAACCTATATCCGTTGTTCAACGCATCAAATTGGCGTCTTTGGAAATGATAACAGCAGGCCATTCTCTCTGATAGTGTTATAAAAAAGGCATTGGAGGGTTCCAATTGATAGAAATAAAGTTGTCGGATTTTAGTGAAAACTTAAATTGTAGATGATGTATGACATCCGAAACAGATGATTGAACAAATTGGCCGACATTAAGTAGTCAAAAGTTTCATTTTTATATGTGCAGGTCAGGGTTCCCGGCCTGTGTTATGTTAATTGTTTGAAAATTCGTATATGTATATGCCAGCCTGTGTCAGTATCCTTCATTATGAAGATCATCTAATAAGCATGCATCATTCATTCATGAAAAGGTTGTTGAGGAGACGTATGTAACAGGCTCCTTTACAGCTAATGGTTGTTGTTATACGAAATATACATTATTTCCGACTAAAGGAACTCGAAATGTCATTATTTGATGTTAAAGTCTAGCGTATATATGTTTTCAATATTTTACGGGCCATATGTAGACAGTGTCATAGGAAGATGCGATAAATCATTGATGATACTTAAGATGAACACAATAGATAGCAAGATCCATACCAAAATCAAATTATGAAGAAAACATGATGGCAAGTCTTTCCTATAGAATTGTTATTGCTGATATCCACCTATAATTTGTCATTCAATATGAACTATTTAAATTTGCATTGGTCCGAGAAGGACCTAATTGCTTTTAACAGCTTAACGAAACTTCGATGGCTGAACTGTATTATAAGCCGATTTTGTATAAAAAGAGGTGTTACTTACTTTTTCGCCATTTGTACAATCCTTTGAAGCACACACGAGAAAGCATGTTT